AGACACACAGACACACAGACACACAGACACACAGACACACAGACACAATCTCCCTTGCTGAGTAACCGTGGACTCTATGTGCTTTTACCTCCTTTATCAGTGTCCCATGTGGGACCTTGTCAAAGGCTTTGCTGAAATCCATATAAACTGTGGATACCAGCTGCATTTGCTGCTTCAGTGGGGTTTGCTATTTCAACTTTAAAACAGGAAGACGGCTCATGCTGTGGTTAAGGATAAAGTCATTGCTGATACGTTGTCAAGGATGCCACGATGAAGGTCAATAAGGTGCCAATAAATATTTTGTAGACATCTTTCTAATCAACCTATTCAAAGAAGTTATTACACACATCTGGATCAAATATGATCTGAATCTCCGGTCTTCTGGCACAGAGTAAATGAGGATGAATCATTAAGTCTAAATTTTTGTGCATCCTTATGGTGTACATGTTTTCCTGCCAACGATATCGTGAAACACACTTGGAAGTGATGTTCATTTCCCGAGGGTGGAGGCATCTTGGAAACATTTATGCTTAAGCATGATGTGGAAAATTTGGAAAAGGTGGAATGGTTTGGACATTTTCTGCAATCGAGCACGGTACACATAGTTTCATCAAGGAATTTCAGTCAACATTTTAATGTTTGCTGTAAGCAACCTGCTGTATTTTTGAAAAAAATATACAATTGACTTTGGAAAAGAGGCAAGAAAAGCTTTCAAAGAGATATGAGATGGTGACTGTGACCCTTAATTGCTGAAAAACCTGGTTTTGAAAAGATTAAGGAGCCTCTATGCTCATGGTTGCCTAGCAGCCCTTTGTAGACTCAGTTTTCTATCTTATAAATCAAACCTCTAGTGAAATCAAATCTTTCCCCTCCTGACATTTACTTTCTCAATAGAGTTTCCAGAGAACCCAAATAAAGTTTTAAAATATCAATATTTCTGACGACCTAATGCAAGCGAACAAAATAGGCAATTTCCAAAGAGTGGCATTCAGATAGATTGCAGTCAGAACTGAATCAGAACATGTCAGTGCAGAATCCAATTTTATCAACAGGATACTTAGAGTGCTGTTTACTGCTGTGTTTTTGAAAAAGAATCTCTGTAGAGATTGTTATCCTTTCGTAATGTGAGGGTCTGTCTGTGTTTTGGGGCGGGGGGATCACAGACGTAAATCCAGTTTACGGCAAGGATGTTAACCCGACTTTGTCATACATTTTAAGAATGAGATTTCTTTTAAAACAAAAAATAAAAAAAGTTCCGAATTTGGGACACAAGGCTGGGGAAAATGTGTTCTTTTGAATTGGCCAGTTTGGGGACTGCAACTTTAGCCAAGGACATTGAAATTTGCGATATTGTTTCATGGGTCAGTGTAGAGTGAGCTTGACTGTGTATCTAACCCCGTGCTGTCCCTGTCCCTGGGAGGGTTTGATGGGGGACAGTGTAGAGGGAGCTTTACTCTGTATCTAACCCCATGCTGTCGCTGTCCCTGTCCCTGGGAGGGTTTGATGGGGGGACAGTGTAGAGGGAGCTTTACTCTGTATCTAACCCCGTGCTGTCCCTGTCCCTGGGAGGGTTTCATGGGGGACAGTGTAGAGGGAGCTTTACTCTAACTCCGTGGTGAGGAAGTCACTTACCAGGTACCAGTGGCTGTTGGTGTTTGCAGTGATTCCCCGGTGTCCTGTTGATGGTCAGTCAGACCGGTCACCGTCTCCGAGCCAGGGCCTGCTCCGCCCTCCCCTCCTCGCTCTGAGCCGGGGCTTGTCTCCGAGCCGGAGCCTGCTCTGTCCTCCTGGAGGCCTGTCTCCGAGCTGCCGATTGCTGGGGCGACGGTTCCCATAGTCGAAGGCCGGTTCTCTTTGCCATCTCGGCCAGTTGGGGGTGGGAAGACAGCTCCAGCCTGCTCCCGGTTGAAGAAGGCGAAGGAGGTGGAACCAAACCTCGGGGACACCTCACTCTCGGACAAATCGCGGCTCCTCTTCCGGATGCCAATCCCAGGAACCTCGCTGTCCTGCCGCGGCTCCTCCATCTTGGCCAGGATCTCCTCCACGGTGGTGCCAGGAAAGCGCTTGCCCTGCCCGCGCACCGACACAGGCCTCACCCGGAACACCGGCTTGGCTGCCAGCCGCTCAGCCGGGGCGGGCGGTGCCGACTGGCCGGCTACTGTGGGCGGCGCACGCGCCTCCCGGGACACGGCTGGTGGGGGCGTTCTCATGGCCTCGGCCAGCAGCTCCAGTAAGGGAGGCGCCCCAGGGGGCTGAGGCGAGGTGGGCGAGGGGCAGGGGGAGATAGGGGAGGAGGACGACGAGGGCCGGCGGACGGGCTGGTGGGGCCGGGCCCCGGAGAACCCATATGGCCTGGGCCCGGCCAGTGAGTTCACCTTGCGCACAGATGGCAATTCGGCAAGGGGTGGCTTCGTGGACATTGGTTTGGGGGGCACAGTGGGCTTCGGTTTTACAGGTGGTTTGGCGGCACCTGAAAGAGGGGATGGTTAGAGGGGGAGAGAGGGAAAGCGGAATAGAGAGGGGGAGAAGAGAGAGGGGAAAGAGAGGGAGATTAGATTTCATATCAAGCAGTGACACCAACAACTCATATCAGCCGATATGGTCACAACACACTCACCAGGACCTGAGGGGGATTTATTCCCCGAGTCCAGGAGCGGAGCAAGAGGTCGTCGGTCTGTCAGCTGCTCAGATAAGGAAGGGGACGCCATGGCGGAGACCTGGGCATCAGCCATCATGCAATTCGCTCCAAATTTCCTGTCACATCCAGAACCCCGAACTCATGCTGAAAGAAACAAAACACCCCATTGACATTAGGAAGATGATGCAAACGCATCAGTTTCCGAACATGTTCATATCATTTTATGCACCACCTGAGACAGCACAGCGCGGCGCTCCCGCAGCGGCCTTTCACACGATGTAAAGAAACATTATTAATTGTGAATCGACATGATACATGATTACAGACTGTACTCACATGAGGAATGACTATCTGTGATGTGTGTGCGCGCGTGTGCGCCTCTCCCCCCGCCTTCGTCCAGCTCGAGATATCCTTTCTGTTCCTGATTTCACCACCTCAAATTGTTCCTCTTTCTCTTTCCCTCCGCGCTCCCCCCCTCTCTCTCCCCCGCCTGGACATAAACAAACAGCTGTTTTTCATTTCTCTCTGGCATCCACAGCTGGAATTTTCTTTGCTGATGTCACATAGACGCTCAGCCTCATCGACGAGCTGGAAAGACTGTCCTACAGGCACACACTCCCTCACACACACACAAGCACAGAGATATCTGTAACCCTTGCAGCTCTCACTGCTGGACCTCCCCTCACTGTCAGTCTCCCTTGCACGGCACGCGCACACACACACACAGACACAGACACCTCTGCAGACTGCGTTGTCAAACACAGCTGTGGGGAAATATTATCAACTGTTCTCCCAGGGTGCAGCCAAACCTTACAGACCCCTGATCCAGAACTGACCTTTCTTCACCACCCCTCCCCCAGATCTTTCCTTTTCCCCCTTCCCCCAGACCACACCCCCCCCCAACTTACATGGCAAGTTACTGTGAAGAATTGTCCCAAAAACTATTTATTCCATTTACAAGTATTTGACTCTAACCTCCTTAAAAAAAATGAGGATGGCAACTTTGTGATACAACCCCCAACTCTGTGCGGTTACACAGCGAGTGACCCTTACCCTGCTGAATAAACGCCGACCCTGTACGGTTACACAGCGAGTGACCCTTACCCTGCTGAATAAACGCTGACCCTGTGCGGTTACACAGCGAGTGACCCTTACCCTGCTGAATAAACGCCGACCCTGTGCGGTTACACAGCGAGTGACCCTTACCCTGCTGAATAAACGCCGACCCTGTACGGTTACACAGTGACCCTTACCCTGCTGAATAAACGCCGACCCTGTACGGTTACACAGTGACCCTTACCCTGCTGAATAAACAGAGAAATTGACAGAGAAACTGACAGAGAAATATGAAAACGCGGAGGAGACTATTTCATCCCTTTTGGGATCAGATTCAAGATGATGGCAGCAGATGTGGAGAAGTGCGTTGGAGAGAGAAAAGGTGAATGAGAGACAGATAAACAGAGAGAGAGGGATACAGAGAGCATGAGAGGGTTGGAACATGTGACAGTGAGGAACACAGTGCGCTCAACAAAGGCAGTGAGACAGACAGAGGAGAGGCTGGGAGACAGAGGGGTTGAGTTATACTGAAAAGAAAGAGAACGGATATAGAGGGGAAGTTTGGAGATGTATGTCAAGGGGGATACAGAGGGCGAGAGAGATTGCGGGGGGAGCGTGGATAGAAAGGTGTGGGAGGGAGGCATCAAGAGACAAAGAGAGCAGAGGAGGGCGAGAGAGCCTGTGTGTTTAGAGACAATGATTCAGATAGCAGGAGGAGAGAGAGACAGCGGAGTTTGAGAGATGGGGAGAGAAAGAGATGGATGGGGGAGGAAAGAAAGAGACAGAGACAGAGAAAAAAAAGAGTAAGGTGGAATAGAGAGAAACACAATGGAGAAGAGAGGGGAGAGAAACAGCAGGGAGTTGGGGGATGTGGAAGAGAGCAATGAGACAGATAGAACAAGAAAGAGAGCAAGAGTTTGTTGGAGAGGTGAGAGAGCATAGAGGGAATGGGTGACAGGGCTGAGAGACTGTTGGAGCCTTACTGTGTAAAACACACAGTGGGAGCAACACTGAGATGTGTGTGGTCTGATTAGGGAAGAGTGTAGGCAAATGTTTAGACTGGGACATAGCCAAATCTCAATGCCAGCTCACTGGCTCACACTTGCTTACTGAATGACTGTCAGGAATACTCTCATGTTTATAGCTAACACACTGTTCTTTGTTTAATTAAAACACAGAAACCTTCCCAGGGTGCACAGCATTGCTTTAATGGTATGTAGAGAGAGTTTTACACTGTATCTAACCTCATGCTGTCCTTGTCCTGACAGGGTTTGATGGGACAGTGTAGAGGAGGCTTTCCTCTGTATTTAACCCCGTGCTGTCCGTGTCCTGGGTCCTGCACTGCTTCAATACGTCAAGCAGCTCTCCTCCCTGCTGGCTCTCTTATTGACACAGTATGGGTGGATTTTGCCCTGACACGAAGCTTCACATTTGAAGATGGAAAATATTCTGCCATTTGGCAATAGATGCTGTACAAACTGGTTTAACTACAATCTGCACTCAATCTACCTACCCAGAGATTGCTGTACTCTGAGAACATTGGCATTGACCAAGACTGGTGTCAAATTGCATTCCCACCAGACTCCCTGTTATCTGTTATTCACCGGGCTAGTTATCCAGGGACCCAGGTAATGATCTGGGGGCCAATTGTTCAAATCCCATCATTGTCAGTTCAATTCAAACTGCGGAATTAAGTCTAAACATAACCTTGAAACCATTGTTTCAGCCCATCTGGGTCAATTTAGGACCCTTACCCTGTCCACAACTACATGGTCGCCCCAGCAAGTCACTCCGTTTTATCTCAGTAAAGAAATGAAACCAGGCGGATCACCTGGCATCGACCTAGGCACCAGAAATGACAATGGCAGAAACAGTCCTGTTGACCCTGCAATGTCCTCCTGAATAACATCTGGGGGTTAGTGCCAAAATTGGGAGAGCTGCCTCAGACTAGTCAAGCAACAACCTAACCTAGTCATACTCACAGAATCATACCTTACAGACAATGTCCCACACACCACCATCACCATCCCTGGATATGTCCTGTCTCACCGGCAGGACAGACCCAGTAGAGGGGGCGGCACAGTGGGATACAGTCGGGAGGGAGTTGCTCTGGGAGTCCTCAACATTGACTCCGGACCCCATGAAGTCTCATAGCTTCAGGTTAAACGTGGGCAAGGAAACTTCCTGCTGATTACCACATACCATCCTCCCTCAGCTGATGAATCAGTATTCCTCCGTGTTGAACAACACTTAGAGGAAGCACTGATGATGGCAAGAGCACAAAATGTACTCTGGGTGGGGGATTTCAATGTCCACCACCAAGAGTGGCTCAGCAGCAGCATTACTGATTGAGCTGGTCGGGTCCGAGAGGACATAGCTGCTAGACTGGGTCTGCGGCAGATGGTGAGGGAACCAACAAGAGGGAAAAACATACTTAACCTCATCCTTACTAATCTGTTAGCTGCAGTTGCATCTGTCCATTAACCATTGCACAGTCCTTGTGGAGACAAAGACCCACCTTCACATTGAGAACAACCCCCATCGTGTTGTGTGGCACTATCACCATGTTAAATAGGACAGACCGCATAGATCTAGCAACTCAAGACTGGGCATCCAATGAGGCGCTGTGGGCCATCAACAGCAGCAGAATTGTACTCCATGGCCCGTAACCTCATGGCCCGGCATGTCCCCCACTCAACCATTACCATCAAGCCAGGGGATCAACCCTGGTTCAATGGAGAGTGCAGGAGGGCATGCCAGGA